TATGGGCCTATGATGTTATTTCCAAGAATACCTGCCCAAACGTTAATAGACCATTGTCTTTGAAATTCTTGGCTCCTTTGCCAAGGATGAGGATTTTGATCAGAGTAATAATAATAATTATGTCTATTAACGCCCCCTTTGTTATCGAACGTGGCTTAATCAGAAAAGATAATCTCTGCGATAAAATGTTTCTTCGAATTTGATTTAAAGCCCAGTTACAAAATTGCGAGCGTCGCTCGAAATCCCTCTGTTTTAATTTCTGGGTTAGATGGATATGGTAGGGGTGGAATCTATTTATTTTAAGTATACGATTTGCTGTCGATTTCGATATACCATGTTGTCTCTCGATTTGTCTGATGGAAATTTGGGGATTCAATACAGCGGTACTCAAGACAACCAATGAATTTGCCTCACTTGATCCAGATTTTTGTCGTATCCTTTTTAAACTGCCCTGCTGTGTCCTCTCGGTGAGTTTTCTTATTGTCTTTCTACACGGATGACGTCTGTTAGGATACCTTTTAGCATACAGCCTTTCCGCTGCACTGTAATTATTTCCAGCCTTACCCAAAATACGAATCATGTCGACTATTTCGTTTAGCGGATAATCAGCCATAATTACAGGATTACTAAAAAATTTCGTAACAATGCTCAAAACATTACATTCGCCAAGAAAATATCGATGCTCTTTAACGTGCGTATGGAGTATACTTGAGTAATGGGTATACTTGGGTAATGGAGTATACTTCGGGTCGAAACGTGGTTGTCATAGTCAAAATTGGACCGAAAGTTCAAAAATCCAAGAAATTGATTTTTTGAATTTTAGGCTGAAAATGACACTTGCTTTCGATCTTGCCTTGACCGGTCGGATCATGCTTTCGATTTTGCCTTATAACTTAAAAAGTATTTAACGAAAAGGTATTTAATTATAGGGTTTTGGAAAGCTCTCGATGTAAGCTAGAAGAATATGTAATGAAAAGTAGATAGTTCCATTTAAGAAATTGAAGATGACCTTCACAAGACCTTCAAACAACTATTCAGTGTCAAACTAATGGCATCATCTTATGCCCTCCTCAAAACCATATAACTTTTGTCTGAAATATTATTTTCTACAATCAAAAATAAAAAAGTTATTTGGAGTGGGACATTAAAATGGGACATCCTGTATATATATATGTATATATATATATATATATATATATACATATATATTTACAAAATCCTAAAATATAAGAAATAAAAATAAATTCATCAATAAATTTCTAATATTACAACAACTTTAATGGTTCCTACAGTTACCTGTAGGAGTTAACAGTTAACAGATACCTGCTGTTGCCCCGTACAGTCGCTTATATATATATATATACAGGATGTTTGATAGCTGATCATGCAGACGAAAGTTGGAGATGGATTGGGTGTAGCCGAGAAGAAAAGTCATGTACCATAATGTCAAATTGCCAATAGTTATCGAGTTATTAATTAAAACATGTGAGCCAACGAGCGCGTAGAGAGCGGAGGGCGACCGCAGTAAGCACGTAGACATTTGATACAGGCGGAGTCAGCGAGTGACGGTAGGCGAGCGCGCGCGGCGAGGGACAACGTAAACAACAAGAGGCGAACGCGCGCGACGCGTGAGTTTTTAAAAATAACATAATAGCTAAGAAAATGGTATGACATATAGGATGAACGGCTAAGCAAATACAATTATTAACGTTTTTCAACAAATAAAGGATATATTATTAAAAAATCTTGTTTTTTTATTTATCCGACACTTCATAAAAATCAATTCCCTTGAAACGAGACTAAGTTTTCAGGATTTTGAGAGCAACGAGGAAAGGCGACGCCAATTACTGAGTATGGCCAGAGCTGATTCTGACGAATTTACAGCAAATTTTTTTCAGCTGTTCAAGAACAAGCTATTATTAATATTATTATTATTTCTTTTATTATTCAACGGATATTTTTTAAATCAAAGTTGAATTCAGCGATCTCGAAAACTCTTTATAAAAACATATTTTCTTATCTATATGAAGTCTTGATTTTTGTCAAGCTTCTGACTGGTTTCGGCCCACTGTACGCTGGTAGTATACGTGCACGTAGCACGGAACATGTTAAAAGACAATAATTTGAGGGAAAATTTGAGAGAGAATAATATATAATACTAGGAAAGTACAAAGGACTTGATAGGTTTTATGATAGAAAAATGTAGACTAACAAGGGAGTTTTGAAAAATCAAAAATTTTGACAAATTTGAGATTTTACAGAAATGAAGTACATATGATCTGATCATACAGCTATTTGTACAGAAAATATTTTGCTATCTTTTATACTGTTGATAGTACATGCTCTGAAAGAAAAGTACCGATTTTTTTAAAGACATATTTCGCCCCTTAAAAGACCAATTGGATATAAAAAAATTCATGTTCCTTATTTTGGTCTAAATTACAATATATTTCAAGCTCATCAAAATCGGAGGGAGACACTTCCTTGTATTTCCTTATGAGTCCTACCTGATTCTATTATACTAGGCCTGACCAAAAGAATATTGTGCTGATAACAGGCTGAAGATTAATTTTACGTTTTGAAAGAAATTATTATTGACAATTGATTCATATATGAGTACAAGGAACTTGAGAAAATATTTTTATTATATTACTAATAACAAAAACTATTATAATTATTAGCATCCAAAGTAAAGAAATGGAGGATAAGAAAATTAAAAACAAGTGTCCATTCCAAAATGGGCAGCTGCGTCCTGGTTTACCAAGGACCGGAGAATCACATTCGTGTGACCCAAAAGTCTGTACAGCGCGGGCAGAGTGAGCTCGTCAGCCTATGTTGTAGCCGAACTAAAAATAAAAGTCCATGGTAGGATGATATCAAAAGACCAGGATTTATTATCCCAGAGATCTCGGAGCTACAGAAGTTGGCACGTTAGCGGATGTATCGTCCTAACTTTCCTCCTCCTGTATCGTTATCGAGTGTGAATTCTCGGTGTATATGAATTTTTGGCCATGTATCAATCGATATTTTTCACTTCGAACTCCACCTCAGAACAGTTTCGACTTCTTAAAGTACATTTCAGCGGAGAATCCAAATTCACTATTTAATACCAAATAACATAAATACAAAAAATTCTGTCATGAATGTCTGTTGTTACATAATATATAATAATATAGGTGTACAAATGAATAATCCAATTTTTCAGCTACATTCAAGGTTTATTTTAAAAGAAAGTAAATTAAATTGTTTAATCAAAGTATTCGCCGTTGCTTTCTATAACTTTAAGTCATCTTTCAGGCAGCTGATGAATTCCATCTCGGAAAAATGTTATGTCTTTGGACACGATAAAGTCGTCAAGCCATTTTCGGATCTCATCCACTGATTGGAAGTGCATATCGGACAAGGCGTGTCGCATCGATCGGAACAAGTGATAATCGGATGGAGCAATGTCTGGTGAATATGCCGGCCGTGCTGCAAGACATCCCAGCTAAGACTCATTATGGTGTCTTTTGTATTGGAAGCAATGTGTGGCCAGGCGTTGTCATGCAATAATTTCACGTTTTCCTTTGTCAGTATACGGGCGTTTTCGTTCCAATTCTTGACTCAAGCAGATTAAATGACGTTGGTAGCAGTCCGCAGTAACTGCCGGGTTTCATCTGGTTCCAACAACTCATAATAAAGAACGCCCTTGATATCCTACCAAATGCAGAGAAGAACCTTCTTTCCGAAGCGATTGGGTTTTGTGACCGATTTTGATGATTTGCCGGGATTTACCCATGACTTTCTGCGTTTCGGATTGTCATAGAGTATCCATTTCTCATTGCCCGTAACGATTTTCCACAAGAAAGACTTTCGACGCTGCTTATTAAGAAGAGAAAGACACGCTGCTACTCGTTAATTTTTGTTGGTTTCAGTGAGTTCATGCGGCACCTATTTTTCTTCTTTCTGGATCTTTCCCATCTCATGTAGGCGTTTGGAAATCGTTTGCTGCGTTACTCCCAACTGTTTTGCAAGCTCCTTTTGTGTTTGTGCCGAATTCTCAGCGAGCAGTTCCAAATCATCCTTATCGCACTTCGGAGGGCCTCCAGGGCGTTGTTTGTCGATTAGACTGAAATTACCGCTTTTAAACCGCTTAAACCAAAATGCGCACACATCGTACGACACAACACCTTCGCCGAGAAAGGAACAAATTGATTCGCACGCTCTTGCAGCATTTTTTCATTGTTGGAATTCATAAAGAATGCAGTGTCGGATATGCACCTTATCTGTTGCCATTTTCGACTGTACTGAACTGAATACTTTTGAAGGTTATGTTGAGCCTTTCGCCAAACTATATGTTCTTTTTAATAGCTATATGTCAACATTGCATAATCACAAAAGAGCGGGAAAATCTATTCAATTTAAAATTGATTTCATAACTGCTTAAAATAATTTGGATTATTCATTTGTACACCTAATATTATGTAAAGGAGAAAATTGGAACGGAATTAAATTTTAAGTATATAAGTATGAAGTAATAGAATAATGAAGAAGAATAAAAATCAAAAATAAACATATGTTAAATATAACTATATTTTTGTTATAATACTATATAATTAATGATAAATATGTTTATGTTTCTTGTTCATGTTTTTATTATTTGTTTTCAAATATTATTTGAATAGTGTCATTAATAATGTCGTTATTCATGTTAGAAAACCAAACAATCTAACACTTACATCATCAAATTTTTAGAAAGTTACAACTGGACGTCATTAAAAAATACATTAATGAATTGAATTAGATCCACGTCGAAATTCAAAGTTTTTATTTATTGAGACATGTTTCAGATGAAGAATGTGTTTGAAATTTAATGTACTTATTATGTGAAACATGTAAATAAATATTTGATTGAAAACCATTAATATTCCGTGAAACCATTAATACCGTGAAAACTGTGAACACATATTATATTAAAACATCGCCTTTTTCACCGTATTGAAAAAAAATTTCGAATGTAATTGATTTCCCCACATTAGTCCTTTGCGCTCCATGTTTTAATTTGTTTGCTTTTATATATTTTGTAATAGTAATACATATTGTAATAATATACATAATATTGTAATATTATACATTCACCAATTTACTTAAAAATAACAACAAATTATTATTCTTAATTATATTAATAAAATAATTCGTATTTTCCACTGCGTACACGTTTTTACATTATTGTGCCGTTAATTCCTCTTTTCAATTCTGACTTTTAAAGGCTTACGGGATGCTAACATCATTTCTACCTTCAACTCTATTTCATTTATTTCCATCCTTTTGTCCACTTTTAATATGAATGTACGTAATAAAGTTGAAATGAGTACTTTCATAGACATCATTCCATACCTTGAGCCTGTAATTTTATCCATTAAACGTATGTTCCGCCACAGCAGCTTTCAAATCATTTATATCTACCTATACAGTTTCTTGGACCATTACTAAAAGGTATGTAACAATAAGGATGAATATTCTTCATGTTCTCCGGGAGAAATCGATCTGGATCGAACGTCAATGCATTTAGCCAATACTTTTCATTTCGATGCATATATATTATTCCTATGCCAACTTCAGCGCCTTCCGGCAAAATATATTCTCCTGCAACATTGTTTTTATAAAAATAAATGTTATTGTAATGAAATATTCAATAGTTAACTTAAAGAAATATATATTTCATTGTGCAGTGCAATATCATCATTGGACATCCAAACACATACAATTGTATACAATGTAGGTAAACACATAATATTTCACTACAGCAGTTACTACACTTATAAGCACTACTATATTTATAAGCAAACCTATTTGTAAATTTTCATCAAGTCGTCGTGCTATAATAGGCCCAACGGGAAAGAGTCTCAGTGTTTCCTTGATAACGCGTTCCAAGTAATTCATATGCTGTAAATCTTCGAACTTGACAGGCACGGTTTTTGGATCTTGCGTGCCATAAATTTCTACTAATTCCTCGTATACCTTTTCCTTTTAAAAATTAGTTATAAGTAAAAAACTAAAATTATTTATAAGTTAAAATTAGTATACCGGCGTCAGAAAGCGTGCAGAATTTGCTAACAGACTCTGACAGCATCGTTTTGCATTTGCAATAGAAATGCAGCGCAGTCTATTGTTTCTATAGGTCAATCTATAGGTTGTTTAATTAAATCGAGTAGTAATTTTTAATATACAGGGTGTCCCGTTTAACCTGACAAATCATAATATCTGGAAAACTACATATCGGATCAAAAAAAGTGGGTAATAAAATTTGTTCGCCTCGAAGGGGGACATCCAATGATATCAAACTCGACCTCCCATCTCACTCCCGAGGGGTGGGGGTGGGGGGCAACTTTAAAATCTTAAATGGGAATTCCCATTTTTTATTGCAGATTCGGATTCTACGCCACAAAATACGTAAGTTTCGTCCGAAACTTTTTTTTTATTCGTGATAGATGGCGCTGTAATCGCAAAAAATTAGATTTTCTGCAATTCTCCAGAAATGATGATTGGATTGAAAAATAAAAAAATACCTGTTCAATATTTTTAAAAATATTTTTAAAAAACATAATAACAGTTATTCCCTCCCATCCCATCGGGGTAGGGTGAGTGGTAACGTTCAAATCTCAAATGAGAACCCACATTTTTCATTGCAGAATTAGATTATACGTGAAGTTCTTATGGAAACAATTTTTTTCATTCGTGATAGATAGCGTTGAATTTTTCCGAGAAACTACTTTTAGCGTTACTCAGGAACAACGACGAGGACGTAGTAGCTTTCTGTTCCCTTCAGGGTGCTTGTTTTAGGTGAGCCCCCTCGCCTCTCACAATTGGGGTGTTTGTTTTAGGTGAGTTTCCTCGCCTCTCACCATCGGGGTGCTTGTTTTAGGTGAGTCCCTTCGCCTCTTACCATCGGGGTGCTTGTTTTAGCTTTACGCGTTCTTTTCTTCAGTTGTACACTTCCAACAGTACAAAACTGTGTAACAACTCTAACGAAAGAAGAACGTGATCGTATTCTTTCAGGAAAACGTTCAGCATACATATTGACAGCATCGTCAAAATTTCTCCTACATTCGCCATAAATGAAAATCATTTCAATTTTTTCTTACACAGTTACATTATCCATGACGCAAAGTCAGAAGAGAATGATAGTGGCATGGAACACTCTTCAAAAATTGATTAAGCACCTCTCCTGATTAGAAAGATAAGTGTCTAATAATGATCGTCTCTTAAGTTCTATGGGCGCGGACGATGGAGAGATGCCACTAACAAATTAATTATGCAAAATCACCCCGATGGTGAGAGGTCACCTAAAACAAACACCCCGAAGGGAATAAAAAGCTTCTACGTCCTCGTCGTTGTTCCTGGGTAACGCTAAAAGTAGTTTCTCGGAAAAATTCAACGCTATCTATCACGAATGAAAAAAATTGTTTCCATAAAAACTTCACGTAAAATCTAATTCTGCAATGAAAAATGTAGGTTCTCATTTGAGATTTGAACGTTACCACCCACCCTATCCCGAGGGGATGGGGGGAATAACTGTTATTATGTTTTTTAAAAATATTTTTAAAAATATTGAACAGGTATTTTTTTATTTTTCAATCCAATCATCATTTCTGGAGAATTGCAGAAAATCTAATTTTTTGCGATTACAGCGCCATCTATCACGAATAAAAAAAAAGTTTCGGACGAAACTTACGTATTTTGTGGCGTAGAATCCGAATCTGCAATAAAAAATGGGAATTCCCATTTAAGATTTTAAAGTTGTCCCCCACCCCCACCCCCCGGGAGTGGGGTGGGAGGTCGAGTTTGATATCATTGGATGTCCCCCTTCGAGACGAACAAATTTCATTACCCATTTTTTTTTATCCGACATGTAGTTTTCCAGATATTACGATTTGTCAGGTTAAATGGGACACCCTGTATAGATGCCGAGCTAAATTAGCTGTATATATTGCCGCATATATGATACATTTTATGAAAGTATGCAATAATGTTTTTAAGAATTCTCCAATCAATGCAAGTATAGATAGGTCCGAATGCACGTATATACACATATATATACATGTATATATTCATTGTTGCGGAAGATATATGCACTTTAGACTGAAAAGCGGGCACTAAGCAGCGCAAAAGAGAAAAGATTACGACGTAAGTAAAAACAAAAAGATTTTCCCAGTCAGAATAAATAATGTTGATTCGACGTCGATGAGGGTTGAAGTAACGTTGATTCAACGGTTCATCGACTCTTTCAACGTCAAATTAACGTCGAATCAACATTCTGATTGAGCTTTTGGAAGCATCCACCTCGATAATGGTTTATTTTATGGCCTTAGAGTAGACGATTCAGTGTAAATGTAAAATTTGTAATGCTTACGTAAAGTAAACTTAATGTAAAACTTAAACATGTTATTCTCAAAATATATTCTCAAAACGTGACTACTATATCTCGAAAACACCGATTGACTTGCAATTTTACACACTTTTTATGAACATTAAAAACTAATTTTTGGACACAGCAGTTTCTCTCTATGATGCTTAGTTTTTCCTCACAGTCAAAGCCGAGCAACAATTTCAATGAAAAACGTTATGTGAACTTTGACTAGTTGTCATTTTGTTCATAAACAGTATTTCGAAAAACAGTTACGTCAAATACTATATTTATCTTTAAATTTTATGAATCTTGTTTGATTTTGCTTCCAGATGAGGTTTGTGAGAACAACGGTAATAATCGTATAAACGCTGTTTTAAATAATATTGTACAAAATATGCAACAGCGTCGCAAATTTTTTATATTTTTTATAATATTTTAAATTTTTAAAATAACAGGAGAAATATGATTTGTTGAGAAATATGAAGTTGTACAAACACACCCTCTGTATTACTTTCCGTTTTTTCGCGAAGAATTCGCCAAGGTTTGATCTCATTTTGATTCGTTTAGGTAAATATCCTTCTTTAAATAGCTATTTAAACCGAT